ATCGCAACACTAGTGCTGTGCAACTGGAAAACTGTTGATGTTGGCAAATTATATACTAATTAGCGTGACAACTTTCATTGCGCGATTTAGGATTAGTATTGACTTCGTATTTTATTGTGCCTTTGTTAGATTATAATAAATTATATTTTCCTTTGTAAGTGGATTCGCTACAGATATTCAGATAAAATAAGTATGACGCATTGTTTTTTATTAGAATATAATTATGAAAAGTGCATAGCGGGTTTCTTGTTTATGCGAAACTCGTAATAAAATCTTAATTTTGTAATGTGCTTGTGAATTATACATTTACACTAAAACGGACAATAAACTAAGTAATAAACATTTGCATAAATATACAATACTTCAAATGCGCACAAAGGAATCGACGAAATGCATATACTCTGAGGGGAATGTTTGTGAAATCAAAGAAGGGACATTGACCCTTCAATACAAATCTTTTTTATCTAACTTTTTAATCTTACACAGAGTTAGAAGACGTGGTTTTGTATCGTACTCTATGTCCACTGATTTGTAAATGAATGTGGTGCTACCGTATTTCGAAATGCTCAAGAATTTCTATTAGGATTCCCACAAAAGGAGACAAATATCTACCTGGATTTAGGTAGATTTCTATATTAATAGTAACACATAAAACTGTTAAAGGTGTTTGAATGTTTAGAAGAGCCAGGCGAATTATTAGATTGTGCTTCGCGTGTATGTTTATATTACGTACATTTCGTTGTTTTGATTTTGGCGTAATCGTATAAAAAAATAATATTGCGGATTTTTGGCGCTAAATTTTGTTTCCAAAATAAAGGGTTTCATAAAATTTATGAAAGCCTTTTTTGTTTACAAAATATATTTCGCTTTTATGTTTGAATGTAATTTGGAACCAAAATTGCTAAAAAGATATAAACTAAAATTAAGTTTTAAGTAAAATATTTGTATGCAGTCGAGTTTTTGTTTACTTTTTTTATGTTTGTTATTAACCGACTTCAAAAAAAGGAGGAGGTTCTCAATTCGACTGTATTTTTTTTTTTTTTTAAATAATTAACTTGTTCTGTAATGTGTTCCGCGGGCCCACGCACCAAAAGAGATAGGAAACAGTAGTTGAAGAATTGGGCATTAATCAATAATTACCTTATATTAACATAAATTATGTTATCTTAATACCAAATCGATGTTACAAGTACATTGGATTATGCCACGGAACCTTGATTCTGATAGGAGGTAAATAAACGGCGCTAACTCCCTGATATGATAACATGTCCATTTATAAGTTACTAGCCATTATTTCATACATAGTATTATACAACCGTTCATTCCTTACTTTACCCCCTCAGGGAAAAATTTTTTCAATCCTTAGCAGGTGCTTAAACCATAAAAAGCATAAGCGGCCAAAATTTAAGATTTGTAGCCCATTTAAATCACAAGAACTAAACATCAACGAAAGAAAAACTAATTAACATGGGTATGCAGCTTTGCTAATTGTGTGACCATGAATAACAGAAACAGCTGATCTAATTCGTGGCGCATACGCACACGAGATTCTAATCATATTTATTATACTTAGCCAACTTCAATTAGTAACTTGGCTATACTGTTGGGAATAATACTTTTCTCTAAATGAAAGGTACTCTATCCCATATTCTGTATTCCTAACTACGCAACGTGTCATGACAATCGGTTCAGTAATCATGGCGTGACAGCGTAGTAAACAACCTTAGTACTTGTAATATCTATACAGGTGAAATATTCATACATTTGATGTGTATATGCATATACGAGGAGGGGGGGGGGGGGGGAGGCAATCAAACAAACAGAGGGGTCGCCTGTTGGCAAGTGATTACCGCGGCCCATGAACACCTGCAACTAAAGAGTCACAAACGCGTTACCGCTCTATTGGCCCCTCTCCCTAAAATCACGGGCAATTGCAATTAACTTGTTGGACTCAATTCTAGCAACTTCATGGCATTTTTTGCCTTTCGCAATTTCTTATATTCAACTGACGGTGGACAAAAGGACTGATACCTGTGTGTACAGAATCGATGTTCTAACGGCTAGTGCTCTAATAGGTAATTTTGAAGAAGGAATAAAAACAGAAATTTATTTGCGGGCCAAAAATAACCGTAACAAGCTTTACTAATTCCATATTAAGCGGAACCCATCGGGACTTGTTTTATGGACTCGAGTAGTAAATAATCACTGCCGTCTGTAGTTGAGTAATAAAATAATTAAGGTAATAAAATGAGTAATAAATTAAAAAAAAATAGGCTAGTGGGTTCATCGTGCGTGGTGTGACTAAGATGAAAAAGGTGAGGAATTAATACATTAAAGGAAGCCTGAAAGTACCACCAGTCGATGAAAAGTTGAGAAGCAATAGGCTATCCTGATATGGATACTGATGCGTAGAGATGAACAAAATATACTGAAGAAGGTTTTAAAATAAATTTAAGAAAATGGTAAGACATTGCTGAGTGGTTTTTGGCGTCAAAATACAATAAGACAAAACCAATCTTCTTTTCTATGATATACTAGTCTCGTTAGCGTTAGTACTCTCTAGCCATGCTCCAACAAAGTTAGGGTTTCTCAAATGACTACTGTTTACTGGTGGTCTACACGATGCTGTTAAAATTGATATTTTATTGCAACAAAATATCAATGGCAGTACGGAGCACATGGTATTTTACTGATTAAACTATATAAGTAACACATTTTAGATAATGCTATTTACGTTATAAAGTTGATGCAGATTTTATAGAAGCAAAATATACCACAGGCTCTCACACAAACGCGGTGAAAGCTGATAACAAAATAAAAATCTCTGCCCTGAGCGCTACATGATAAAATATGTTTATAGATGTATGACGCTATGCAATTACTGGTGATTGTTTGCTTCGCGCCCCTCACTTAATGAGCTTTTGTGGGACAACGATTTGTATGTGGGGCAAGCTGTACGTTCTTGATATAAGTACTTAGCTTTACAATTATTTTCCTATCTTTGCACCTTTTTATAAGGTTTCGTTCTCAGAAAGTCCTAGAAGGTAAATAATTTGAGTCGTCATCAACCAGGATCACCTTGAAGATAACGTTGAAAGATAATAAGTGAGTGGAGATTAATAATAGGTAGCACAAATGACTATTGACATCACACTTGAGCAGTAATCGCCATTGAGAAACACCTCAACTACCTCTTACACTACGCCGTCAAGTCGTCAACCCTAGATTACCTTTGTGGGCGAAACACGCACTCAAACAGCCAGCGTTATCCTGGCAGCAGCATCTGGTACGGCAGTTTTGTTACCCATAACTAATATAGGTTATCTTATAATGAACAATATATGTGTGTTATTTATATTGCTCACTTAATGTTATAACTTTAGTCCATTTTCGTTAAGTGACGCATCGATCAAGCGCCAATCTCAACCCTGACCAATCAGGTTCCAAGCTTTCGCACGAAACAATAATTTCTTAGAACCCGATCGATGCTTCATTATTTTTTTAACGCGAATGGACTGTAGTATTCATTGAATCAAGAAACAGCGTATTCCGTAACAAAGTTGTTAGAAAATCTCCTAGATCATTCGCATTTTCTATATTCAAGTTGCACTCTTGGGCATAGAAAGCGACAGCGTTTTTCCTTTGAGAAAACCTGGGTATTCCTTGATTATAGCGAATGACAGTTTCGACTGCTCTATTGCTACATGTGATTTGCAAAAGGTAAACGAATTCGCAGTTTTTGGATTATTACAGACCGGTGGACCTTCTGGTGACCACGGCCACCGGTTTCTACGTACGGCCCGAAGCTTGAACGATAAAGGTTTGATGACGAAATCTATACTAATATTCTAGACCTGAAGAGTTTGTATGTTTGGTTGAACATGCTAATGTCAGGTTTTCGGGTTTCGAATCAAATATTTCCTTTCTATCTTATTTATCGAGAAATATATAACATCACGCTACCACCAAAAGGAGCCGAGTCGAAGAAATGTTGCAAAAACGGAAAAAACTTGTTCCTTTTGAGAGATGCAGAACAAGTTGTGTGTCAGTTAGTAATACATTTTGATTAAAAAAAATAGCTTCTTCTACAAATAAACGTGAAATATTTCACGAGAAATCTGCATGTCATATTTAGTTAAAATTGCATAGAAAATATTATCAGTATGTAATTATGTATAGATAAGTTAATAACATGTAAAAATTTATATCTTCTTTGCAAGCAAAAACGTATAATACCGTTATCACCTATAAAACGTCATATGTGTGTTAAACATGATATTTGATACTGAGATAATAAAAACTATTTGAATTGCCAAAATAATTAGCTTGTGCTTTTTACTTAATATGATAAAAATGGATTTCTTGTATATATTAGTAGTATAATAACTTGAAATAAGGAAAGGATTTTAATGTAAAAAAATGGATGTTTAAGCAGAGTTATTTCAGGCAATCATTTTAATTTGAAATAACTTCAAGTGTCAACACATCAAATTAATGAGGAATTTATTCTAAATTATAGAAGTTTATATTTAAATCAATATTATTAATAATAAAAGAAGAGAGAAATTTCTTTAATAAATGAAATTTCACCTGCTTTAATATTGATATCTGATTTTATTTATAAATACTTATTATTAAATATTATGACCAAGAAATAAGCAACTTCATATTGAAATGTGTATTTTAAATTAATATTATTTAGCAGGTTTACCTAAATAGTAAAATTTTAATTTTATAGACTACAATCAGTTTGATCTGCATTTCCTTATAAAAGTTATGACCATGATAACCAGACAAGGATAAGAATAAGTATAACAAAGATAAAACCAATAGAATTAAATAAACAAAAATTACTGATTAGCATTGATAATTTACATATATATACATATATACAAAAATAATAGTAGAAAACTGGTGATAAAACTAGTTACATTATCACTGTTACTAACATAAGTTAGATTAATATTTTAGGTATAATAATAACTAAAAGGTATATTTACCTCTTCAAGATCCTTGTGGAACTTAATCGGACGCATCAAATAAAACTGTATCGAAAAATAAACAAAGTTTATCACAATGAATGCACTGTTCCACAGTACAGCGTCCAGGTAGCACTCGATACTCCATGCCCACATGCCGCTAAAAGCACAGCCGAGAATCAGCGCCACACGCAACCACATCAGACCACCAGGAGTGTGCGGTGCCAGGAATGACAGCAAGAAAAACAGATTGGCCACTTGGAAAAATATATGGTTTACTGGCCGCCACTTGGGGCAATGGTTCCAATACATGTCCCACATCGAGGGTCGCTCCTGCACTGTCACGTTTACTAAATCTCCTGTCGCGGTCGACAGCCTCGTCGTCTCTACCAAACCCATCTCGTTGACAGCCGGCTCAGCCACCGGCGCCGGACTAGTCACTGCAACCTCACTGCTCGTCGAGACGTCTGTTGTGACATTCTGCAGCCCTATCATACCGATCGCTAAGGCACTGAGAAACAACATAGTCCCACCGCGCTCTCACACACACCCCGATTAAATTTGTCATCGAAACTCCACTCGCTATTCTCATTTGACTATTGTTATAAGCACTAAAAGTCGCCTATAATTTAGAAAAATATTTAAATTTAAATTAGTTCCTTTTAATTGTAAAACAAAATAATTATAAAGTTAAACCGCTACACAGAAATGATAAAATTATTTAACACAAGCACCGACACAGCTAACTAATAATTAAACAGACACTAATACTAAAATAACTTATTCCGAATTAAATTCCTTCTTCAAGAATCCAAAATAAAACGGTAGGAATAGGAAACAGTAAAGCAAACAATCGAAGCGCACAAATGACAAGCAGCAGTGCGCTATTGACAGAAATCCGAACCAAAACCAACTAGAAACTAGTGCTGGGCAATGTCACTAAAAGAAAAACAAATAACAAAAGAACTTTTGAGCTTACGATGGGTTTCACTTTTCCTACCGTCAATAGAGCTTAAGACAATTACCTACCTGCCTGAAATCTAAAAAGAGAATAAAGGAAATTAATCAATTTTTACAACATCAGATTACAAAATTAATGGTTATCAACAAAAGTTTTAATTTTAAAAAGACAACCCTACGCTGAAGTTTTCGAAGTTGGTTATTGTATAAATTTAAACATTTATGATCCTCATTTTTTTCCTTGGATGTAAATTGATAATTACTTTATTTTACCAGAATTATCAAACTGATTATATTTAAAAAGCGGACAATTAAATTATAATTATAACGAAAAAGTAAATGACAGAAATAGAAAAATAATGAAGATATTTAATAACTGTCTTCGTACATGTTACTGGGCATTTTGTGAATATGTCGGAATATGTCAAATTACCATGTTACGAAATGTCAGCTGTTGTTGCCGAAAGTCGGTATGAATTAGTAAATAAACGACTTTATAACCTCTTTTTTTATTCTGTGATGTTTTACTATTATAATGTCTATCTCTTTTGAAATGTTATTACATCCTGAACTTTTAACTAATGAGCAACTTATATATGTAATACAAGAGGTATTAGAATTTTCTTTTTTTAATATTGCTGTAGCGAAGGTTAGAAGTGCTGATATCCTACATAATATAATATTTCAATTTTCAGAGACATTTGCGTATCCCAAATATAGAAAGAATGGAGAGAGATGAGATATTACAAATATTCCACCATTATTGCGTACCTTATGGGCAACGGAAATATAGAGACTCTGGCAGAGGCAGATTGCTGAATAGAGCGCGCCCTACTAGCCCGGAGTCGCCATCAAAACTACACACAATGGTTTCACAATGCAATAAGAACACAAATCCTCATTGTAATCGCTTAAAACCACCTCCAGATTTGTTATCAGGTCACATGAAACGGATTAAATTAGAAAATACTACTACACCCACAAATACTCGAAGAAATATAAATGAAATTAAGAGGAAAATGTCAATTGATTCTGTAAGTAGCATGTTCTGTGTTTTAATAATAATAGTAATAATAACTATCTGGGATGGCAGTCTGATTCCACACTAGGCAGAGCCTGTTGTATGGTAATCAGACTGTTGATAAACATACTTATATAGTTCTAAATACATACATATTATAGATAAATTACACCCAGACACAGAACAAATGATCATGCTCATCACACAATATTCATCTTGTGTGGAAATTAGTTTTTGATATTTCTAAATAAACAAACTTGTAAAAATATACCTATTATCGATAATTTACACCCAGACATAGAACACGCGATCATGAGGTACTTCCATACAACAAAGTAGTAATTAGTTTACATCATTTGTGATTATTATTTTTATTTGGTCTGCACTGACATTTGCTAATTAAATCATGCAAATTATGAATAGATTATACATGATATAATTTCTTAAATGTGATTAAGAAAAATAGTTGAACATTTGATATTTATAGCTAGTCTTTCTATTTCAGATGCCACCAGCTACTGACAGTCCACCACCTAAAAAGGAAAGAAAACCAATAACATGGCCTTGATGTAAAATACATTTGAATTTTTATACAAATATTTAGATAATTAGCTGTTGTTGTAATTACTAATAGTAAGTACTATAAATGTTGGCAGGTCCACTTTGCGTAAATAGACAACATACATCTTAGCAAAAATATTACTTTTTATAAGAAAATTAGCTGCCTTTGTAAATATACTTTACAACCTATTCCCATACTTACCAAATACACAAAAAAAAACATAAAAATCCATCAAACCGTTTCAGAGAAGTATGAACACAAACACAGTGACTCAAGATATATATATATATAGATAGATAATAATAGCTATGTTCAAAATATATAATAATAAACAAAAAAAATGCTCTATTTGTTTAACACATGTCAATGTTTTAGGTAATATATTTATAATTAACCCAAACATCTCATACTGTGCCACCGTGTTTGACAAAACGCTTATAAAGCTTAAAATAAACAATTGTTTAAATGCATATTAAATTCTCTGACATGTTCCACATAAACATATATTTTGCTGCAACAGGAAGAGTTTAATTATAAGCTCTACCTCCATATCTATTGGTATTGGTTGTGGGCTGCGATTTCCGCATTTAGAATCGAGAGTGGTCCTTTATGCGTATAGGAGAGGTTGGCTAGGTGAGCATCCAAGCTCCTTCTAGACGCGCAGAAGCCTCCTGGCACGTTCACAGGCTTCTAGGAGCGATTTTGTACCAGGTATGGTACTTGCTCGTTGTGTTGCCACTCCCTCGCATTCCTAGGATGCCTGAAAGCAAAAGAAACGGCCGCCCATCGTCGCATTAATGGTGAATAGTTGTTGGTTGGCCTCCTTTCTGGGGACAGGCTCCTTTCTGGTTCAGGGCTAGGTGTCCTGTTATGATTTCTACGATTATTCGGATATCTAGTCTGCTAAGACTATATTATAATTTTAGGACCACCAAATATTCAACCACCACCAATATGTATATTGACAGATGTGTCAGAGGTCACAATTCAGACGTTCAAGTGGATTATTGAAAACCGGCTTTTAAATACTATAAAACTGTACTAATAATGAAATGAGCATATAAGCATATTTATACATAACATGTCACAAATTTATATTGTAGCAGCTATCATAAATGTTGTTGTTTTATCTGAATGAATTTACACCTTATATGTAAGGTCATTAGACTTTTAGTTTAAAAAAAAAGAATATTTTTTTTCACGAAAATAGCCTAAGATACTCATTATATATATATAGCTAACAAACAGACAGACAGAGAACAAATATTTAAATTGGTTTTTAGACATAGGTATGGTGCAAATAACCGTGTGAGCATTGTGACTCTTGAGTTGCAGGCGTTCATGGGCGGCGGTAGTCACTTTCCATTTGCCCCCGTCGTTTGCCCCCCCCCTACCGCCCTTCCATAAGAAAAAGGAAAGTAATTTATTTTGACTATAAGATAATAATAATATACCTCACACATGTCACACACGGCCGTCTGATCCCAGATGAAATATCTTTCCTTCCCATTTTGTGGTTTATGATCTTTATTTCCTTCATTTACTGAGGCACAAATTTTCACAAAATAATAATAATATTAATATTCTACCACATTCACACAACGCCATCTAGTCCCAAACTAAGCAGAGCTTGTACTATGGGTACTAGACAACTGATATAAATACATGTATACTTTTTTTTGTAAATACATACATATTATACATAGAAACACCCAGACCAAATCAAACATCAAATGTTAATGCACACAAATGTTTGACTTGAGCGGGAATCGAACCCGCGACCTTTGGAATAGCAGTCCGTTACACAAACCACTACGCCATCCGGTCGTCAAAAAAACAAGCTTAAAACATTGTACAGAAACATAATTAATTAAGATTTATTACAACGAGACCAATAAGTGTGGATGTGGTAGATTGTAACTCTAGAATATGATAACCAAGATGAGATGAACTGCTTGTATAAATAAGTTAATTATTGAAAGAAAAAGAACATCCGACTTAAAATTACATCCGACTTAAAATTACATCCGACTTAAAATTACAAACTGGAGATTTTAATTTTATAATTTTCATATACCCAGTGTCACTTATAATTGAGACGAATTTAACGACACCTCCCAAGCCAAAATCCATTATCGTGCCTACGAAATACACGTACATAAAAAACCCTTCTTCTGGCGAAGTCGGGTAAAAATAAAACAGTCAAAAAAGGAGTGTATTGATCATAAATTATCAACTTGAGAGTTGCTTTATGATTGTATAAAATAAAGTAGGATTGTTTAAGTAAAAGGTGCTTTGAAAATCAAATTTCGGTTGCTTCTCATTTGGAAATAATTTTGTGAATTGTACATAGTTGTTTTGTGTGTAGTTAAGTTTTTGTAATGATGTTAAATCGAAAACCTATGAATGAAGGCACTTTTGAAAATATGTGTTTTATTTCATACGGCCATTGATGGCGTAGTGTAGTAGTTGTCCGTGTAGTGACGTATTAAGAATACGGAATGTCACTACCCCAATTCATCCCGTGGGTGTCGTAAGAGCCGACTAAGGGAGCAAAAAAACCAAGAAGGAAAACTTGATACAATCCCTATACCAACCCGTCTGGCCAGCGTGGTATAGTAGGCCAAAACCTCCTTTCTAAGGAGAGGCCTATGTCCAGCAGTGGACTATTAAAGGCTGTTGATGATGATTGATGGCGTAGGTAGAACGTTCATTAAGTATGACAGATATCACTTGCATTCGACCGTGAAGTACGCATGGGAGCATCCTCATATTGGATATTAAGTACACTAGCCTGGGTTCAATTCCCATGTCAGCTAAAATTTTATGAGATTTTGCGATACTAACTTGCAAACTTGTGTGTCATGACAATATAAAATCATGACAATATAAACATTTACTTGTTAAAGTAACCGGTAAATGAATATCTTTTGCATTGACTGAAGTTCCGAAATAGGCGTCGTGGATCACGTGGTCATAGGCTGACTGGTTCAGTAGTGGACCACTGTTAATTCCCTTGTATAAACATTATTTAAGTTTACTAATGTAGCTTTATTAGAAACTGAATCAGCAAATACCGAGCATCTATCAGGTACCTACGTCACCTGGTAGATAGAGGGACTAGCGCCATCTATTATTTAATTCCGTTATTATTTATTATTCTGTAGTATACCCTACACGAAACCTATCTCTAGGATAGAAGTTTCGTACACTCAAAAGAGAAAGGAAAAAATTAAAAATGAAAAATTACTAACAGACAACAGAGTCAGTTATCTACCGTAAGTTAAGAGCCTTTTTTGAGATTTTGACAGATAACGTGAGTCCAAAACAATCAATCAAAACTGCATAAATAGCATGACAATAACTTAAAAAGGGAACTGTCACTTGTGTTTTCAATAAAACGTAATATTAGATTTCACGATTACATAAGTATTACTTTTTAATCTCTGCTTATACTCAAGTAAAAAACATAATCATGCACGAACCTACACCTAAAAATGCAAGATCTACTAAAACAAGAAGTATGTTACAAATCGACGATGTTGAGGTAAAACCAAGTACTACACTCAAAGGTATATCAAGAACCCAATCTCACTTCTTAGTTGCCTCCGAAAAGCTGGATAGAGTGACAAGGAGGGTGATTGCCCCATACGCTCAAATAGAAAGAAAAGGTCAAAAGGAGGAGGAAGAAAAGCCAGGGATTTATCTGGATATAAATAGGTTCAATGTATTTTTAGAAGATACAGTAGATTTAGATACTCTTTTGTACGAAACTGCTGCAGTACTGAAAACTGTAACGGATAGTTCTGGTAAGCGCCTGCAAAAATTATGTTAGCAATTTTTTTCTCTCTTTTCTGTGATATTTCTAGATGACATTTCTTTCAGGCGTTTTTGTTTATATTGTGGACAAACTGAGGAATGAAATAGTATTAATGCAACCTAATACAAAAAGTCCTGACCGACATACAATAAATATACCAATCGGTTAGTTATCATTTCTTCTTACCTTATTTATTTATTTTTTATTTATTTACTTTAAAACAACTATTATTACAGGTTTAGCCCAATGCGATAGTGTTATACCATCTACTTATTTATTATAAGAAATAATTCTTAATGCTGTTATTGTGAATCCACTCAGTGAGCAATAGAATAAATCTATCGCATCCGCAATTATATTCAGAGTGCGTAGTGCGCGCGTCAGCGGTGCTTCGCTCAGCAGCTTGGTGCAGCAGTGGCAGCAGTTATATACTTTTGTGTAAAGAATTATGTCGTCTCCTTTAATAGCGCGTCTTAGAATTCGGTTTCACTAATATTTAGTTAAAAAGGTACTTCAGGGTGGGTTTACCATGTCGGCTGTACCTAAGGGGCCACGTGCTGAGCAAAATAAGCTAGATGGTCAGACGTTGATCAATCGCAAACGCCTTAAATGTTATTAAATTTGGAATGCAACTAATTTAAGTGAGCTCAGCTTCACCTGTTTAACCGTTACTTATTTCGGTCAGCCGGTCTAGTCGATTAGACTGGGAAAATTAGAAGAGCCAAGAGGTTCTCAATTCGGTTTTAGTTAGCTAACTTTTTTTTTGAGATGGTCTTTCCGTTTTGTCGTTCTTTGAAGAAAAAATATTAAAAGAATAAGAAATGAAGAATAGAGTTTATTGAAATTAAACGCATGATGAAAATTACTCGTATATTAAACTATATTCTTCTATATTCTTCTATTACTTCCATATTAGACATCACCTCGAACCAACATTCTTTGGACTGATTCAAAACAATACGTCAATCATATAATGTAAATAGTTCAAAAGAACAGAATCATTGTTTCCCTAAATTATCACCAGAATGCTATGCCATGATTTTGATGTTACGAGACCAACCTTTTTTTTACTTTAAGTATATGCACCAGCTGTGGGCTACTAAAGGCTGTTGATTATGATGATTTATCGAAATTAGAACCTAGAAATACAAGTAGATGTCGTAAATAGCCTACTTTTTAAGATGTGAAACACTAATTTTTACGCTTTTTTTAAATCTAAATATTTTTAGAGGAAGGAAAAATAGCAGCAGCACATGTTGCGAGTACCAAGGAGTATCTGCTTTTGAGTGACGTGCAAAGAGACAGGCGATTTGCCGAAGGTTTGAAGTGGGTTGATGCGAAGGTAGCTCTTTGCATGCCAGTGGTGAAACCTGATGGGGAGTGCTACGCTGTACTCGAGTTGTACAGGACTTATGCGAAGGCTTACGATGAAGTAAGTGCAGTGTGGAATATGAAATCTTCAGGTGAATACGGTCTTGACTGATAACTTTGTCCAACAAAGATCCTATTGGTCTAGCTAGTGGCTAGAGATCCTGACGCAAGCCAGGGGTATAGGTTGGATTCACATTCAAGACAAATAATTGTGTGCTGCAAATACTGTCTGAGTGTGATTTTGCTTTAATGTGTATGTATTTCATATTATCTATTTTTGAGCAGTTTTGTTACCATAATACAGAGTCTGTCAAGTTTGGAAACCTTCTTCCGTATTCGAGTCAAATTGCCTGTAGGTACGTAGGTCGCGAGGTCTTCATAAACGTCTGTGTATTTCCCTTCTTCGTTTTATGGTATCTAGGATAGATGTACCTTTACCGGAAATAAAATACTTACACACTTAAACTTTAATTTCCAGAACGTAGTTTACACAGTGATAAGCGTGGTTTGCTGGGCTGGGGCAGCCGTTCACCAAGCGCAAGCGAGAGTGACCTTACAGAAGACCTCTCATCTCAACAACGAGCTCCGAGCATTGCTGCAAAACTACTTTTGTGATTTGGCATCCATTGATACTATGCTAACTGATATGTTGGTCAGTGACTCAATAGATTAAAAAGTAATAAATTGTACGTTTTCACCTAGCTGCACCAATGTGGTGACGGATTAAGAATAGGGAGTATCACCACCCCTATTCATCCCGTGGGTGTCGTAAGAGTTGAGTAAGAGAGCAAACTACGCAGGACAACAGCACTATAAACAGAAAGAAAACTTGACACTAAACCTTTTTTTTTTTTTTTTTTTAACGTGTGGAAATCCCCTCGGACCGTCACCCCTTTTGGGGTGGTTTGCGGCGGGGTGGTGTGTCGGACTCGGACCGACTAAAACCACACGGTGTGCCACTCTGCGCCTGTAACAGGAGGGATCCGGGAACAGCTGTTGTTAAGACATCCGGACCCCTCCTAGCGCCAGCCCGCTCCTGGTGCGGGCTCCGTCTCAATATTTTTTCCTCTCTTTAGGCAACGTCCGGCACACGCGGACGCCGCCCCCTCGCGGCTGGCCAACTAATGCGGGTGGAGGGGAAACCCACCCCGTCCACCCGCGGCCACACTCAGGGCGGCATGAGGCTGTGATAGGCGGGCCTCCGCCGCCCGGTTCGCCGGCGGCGGATCGGGTCCGAGTGGAGGTCGTCCTCCCGGGCCTTCTCCGCCGCCTCCTTCCGCGAGATTACTACCTCGCAGAAGGTTGCGACCGCGGTAAAACAACTGTCGCTACCGGCCATGGAGCGTACTACGGCCGGTAGCGAGAGATCCACTCCGATGACTGCAGTGAGGGCCCGGCGCTGCGCCGCCCATGCGGGGCAGACCGCCAGCGTGTGCTGGGCCGAGTCCTCACTGCAGTCGCAGTGGTGGCAGGCGGGACTCAGTTCCCTCCTAGCGACCGAGTGCAGGTACTTTCCGAAGCAACCGTGCCCGGAAAGCACCTGCGTCAGCCGGAAGGAAAGGGTCCCGTGCTGCCGCCCTGCCCACTCGGCGATGACCGGCTGGAGAGCCTCCACGGCGGCGAAGCCAGCGCGTGGAGTCTCCAGCCGGAACGACCAACGAGCCATCGTGGCTCGGCGAGCGGCTTCGCGCCACTCGCGCACATCCTCGGGCGGAGGGCGAAATCCGCTCTCCGCCCGGGAGTCAGCCACTCGGCGATAAACTTCGGCGAGCACTTCCGCCTCCAAATCCCACGGGGGAGTTCCGGCCAACGCGCATGCCACCTCCGTCGAAACGGTGCGGTAACCGCGTATGGCTCTGACCGCCATTACCCTCTGAGGGTGCCAGAGGCGTACCCTATTCTGGGCGGTCAGAGCCGCCGCCCACACCGGTGCACCGTACAGTGCCATTGACCTGACAACCCCCGTGTACAGCCGTCTTGTCGCGACGCTGGGTTTGTATTAGTGTCAAGTGTAGCTAGCTAAAACCTCCTTTTTAAGGGCTATTAACCAAACTGTGGAACGGGCTATCGTCTGCGGTATTTCCGGACCGATGCGACCTTCAAACAAAAAGAGCGTACTCGTTCCTAAAAGGCCGGCAACGCGTTTGTGACTCCTGAGTTGCAGACTTTCATGGGCGGCCATAGTCACTTTCCATCAGGTGACCCGTCTGCTCGTCTACCCCCCTAACATAAAAAAAGAGGCTTATGTCTAGCAGTGAACTACTAAAGGCTGTTGATGTGATGTGATGTGATCTAGTTGGTCTTATGACGTAATAAAGTCTATTGTTCGGTTGCTGTACATATCGTAACTGGTTTTCCCCCAGGAACTTCCACATTTAGCCGGTTAATTTAGGTTCAGTAAACGGCAATAGGTAGACTTCCTTATAACATGGTTGTCTATCTCTGCCAGACGTGAATTAACTGTATTCTTGATCTTTTAATATTCCAAATACAAAATATAACATCTGACATCTGCCCTGTGACGGCACACTCTAGCACCAGCCACGCTCATTGGTCAAATCCAATAGCGGGTATTTTCCCGTTTCCCTGTTATACACCTTAGTCTCTTTATGAATAATTCCTACAGGTACCTAACAGAAAAGCATGAGAAAAGATGTTACTCATCCAAAACCATTATTCATTCGCATTGAGGACCTAATTAAATTCAAAATCGGTTATGAAGAAGTTTTGGGCGGCTAAATTTGTAGAATTATTACTAAGATTGTTGAAGATGTTGGATTCGTGCCAATAAGTAGTGTTATATTAAAACAATGTAGGTAGGTATTACGATTATACCTCGTGAAATACGCATAAACTAATTGTGACAGTAAAAAATAATTAGTATTATACACAGCTGCTCGGCTACGGATTTTACGGCCATAGTGACTACATGCTTTCATGACAGACTATGTCAAAACCATTCCCTATAGCCTTGTTTGTGGTTATCATCAACAGCCTATACTAGTCCACTGCTGGACATAGGCCTCTCCTTAGAAAGGAGGTTTTGGCCTACTATACCACGCTGGCCAGACGGGTTGGTATAGGGTTTGTTTCAAGTTTTCCTTCTCTTTGCAGTGCTGTTGTCCTGCTTAGTTTGCTCCCTTAGTCGGCTCTTACGACACCCACGGGATGAATTGGGGTGGTGACAATTTGTATTCTTAATCCGTCACCACACGGACTATGGTTATACCACATGCGTATTTGGCAAATCACAAGTACCATCATCACAATAAAGCACAGGCCTCAGTTCATTTATCTATCATTTTAGGCTGTTGTGAAATCATTTATTGGCGCCATGCGAAGCAGTTTCTACGTAATAGACAAGGAGAATATCACCGGTCAGATTTTCGCTGATATGTGGGACGATGGGTGGGCAGGAGAGAAAACTACCATGCCGAGGAAAAGGACGAAGGTTAAGTTAGTAGCCACTGCCTCCTATCCCTTTACTAGACTTTTTAAGAGCTTGATTTGCTAATACCCTCAATTATATTAACAGATTAAAAAATATAAGTATAAAACAAGACAACTGCCGCACTAAGAATATATCCTGTGTCTTTTACAATCATATATGAAATAGACACAAAAAAACATCTACACTCAGAACAACAATTTGTTGATCACACAAAGTGTTGTCTCATGTGGGGATCGAACCTACAACACTCAGTGCAGTAGGAAGCGGCGAGGTAACCGCTTAACAGTGCAGGCAAATATTGTACTTATTGGATCCTCTTAGACCCACAGCTGTAACTTGACTGAACTGACATTTAGTGCACTGTCTTTCATTCTGTTTCGTATAGATTTTATCCTTTTATGGTAAAGTCATCATGCGTTTCGATGCGCAGAACACAATAATAGATATCAGCGGGACCTAAAGTAGGGTGGGGACAAGGCGACACACGACACGCATGCTTTTAACGTGTGGGTTACATCCGTACACTGCACATGCGCGCATATTCCTGGGCCTCAAATCTGCTATTTTATGTTCACGCCAAGCCACCACAAAAAAAGTAATATAATTTCAAATAATAAGAAAATGATTTATTTATTTTTCCAAATATGGCAATCTTTTTGATATCACCACTGATGAGCCACCGCCATTCCATCGCCACTGTAAAGACACTGAGTTAGTATAGACTACCGATATTTATACCGATGCCAATGGCCACTCGATGGCATCTCAATAGCGTGTCAGTGGTATGACAGTGGCTTGGCGTGAACATAAAATAGCAGAATTGAGGCCCTGTTTACGTACAGTCGAGTCGACTTGACTAGGTTACCTGCGCAGCTAACTTCAGAGCCGCCATTAAGTTTGCATCGGTCTATTCTGGCCTGTTGGTCTAGTGGCAGCCCCGGATCTAGCGGGGGGAAGGCCAAACCGGGGCATCACCAACGAAAAAATCGTAGATCCGGGGCTCTCTAGTGGTTAAGCTAAGGGTTCGATTCCCACTCAGGACAAATTTTATTTGTGTGATGAGACGTTAATTTGTTATCTTTGTATAGTTTATCCGTAATATGTAAGCACATATTTAGAAATATATAAGTAGGTATGTTTATCAGCAGTCAGTATGGTTACCATAGTACAGGCTCTGCCTAGTTTGGGACCAGACGGCCATGTGTGAGATGTATAATGCAAACTCATTATATCCTAAATATAGTTATTTTCAGACATCTATGGTATTAATCGAGCATCCTACCAACTCCGAAAGAGTCTTGTCATTAAGAAGGTAGCGTTTGAAAATTCTGAACCACCTTTCCCCGCTGTAAAACTGTTAGTGTAATTTTTCTTTGCCAGTCTGACCATGGAACAAACTCCAGCCGGCTTGGTGGCTAGAACAGGGGAGTCGTTAAATGTCTATGACGCGTACAAGGACTCGAGGTTTGCCAACGAGATTGACCCTACAACGGGAACTGTTGTTAGATCATGCCTTGTGTCTCCAATCTTGGATAAAGGCGGAGTTATGGGTAAGCGACTATCACACAATATGACTTAAGTGTGTCCGTATAGGTAACTGCTAAAATGAACACTTTATTCTTGACTTTTTGTCATTCGATTACCGTTAAAACAGTTTATGACGAACTCGTTCAGAGCAATATACCGGTTATATCGACCAATATCAAAGGTCCCGGCTTAATGCTATATGACCGCCTTATTAAAAACATTACTTTTAAAATTTTACGAAATACCTGCGACTCAGGCGGTGAAAGGGTTAAGCGACTACGTTTAACTAATATCTTCGGAGAGTTATATCTGTTAGAATGACCAGCTGTATTGTCCACATCTGGGGCATAGTATAAATAGGTCTGTTATTCCGTCCGTCCGTTATTTACAACGCGCAACGGCCAGTGAAAGGTGCACTGGTTTTGTGATATGATGCAAAAGCCCGCATCCCTTGAAAACGTTATGATTAATTGGTTTCAGGTGTCGTACAATTGACAAATAAAATAAACGCCCAACCGTTCAACCCTGAGGATGAGTTGATATTCTCCGTGTTCGTCAGCTACTGTTCACTCATCGTACACTTCTACAATATGGAGCAGAAGAAGATATATCACGTTCGTATTGAGTCATCATTACTTTTTGATCAACATTAGGTTTTGTAAGAAAGGGCCAGTACGTACCTACATGATAGTACGGACATTACACAAAAAAAAATCAAACAATATTAACAATACAGTATTTTATTTATAAATTAGAGAACCATTTATTATTATTATTAAAAAATATAAATATCCGAATTGACAACCTCTTCCTTTTTGAAGTCGCTTAAAATATAGGAAGGACGTTCAGAACTGGGTAAGAATTTAAGAAGAGACGGGAGAAGAAATTACAGAACAGTGTTATCATACAACTCGTAACACTTTGTCTATTAAACATGTTGTTAAAAGACTGTAGGAGAACGCTATATTCAGCATAGATAAGACTCGCACGTCCCTAGAATGTGAAATTTCTGTAGGTGTGTTGATCAGCCTTCATTCACATCACATCAACAGCCTTTAATAGTCCACTGCATGACATAGGCCTCTCCTTAGAAAGGAGGTTTTGGCCTACTATACCACGCTGGCCAGGCGATTTGGTATAGGGTTCGTGTCAAGTTTTCCTTCTTTTTGCAGTGCTGCGTTGTTTTGCGCCCTCAGTCGGCTCTTACGACACCCACGGGATGAATTGGGGCAGTGACATTCCGTATTCTTAATCCGTCACTACACGGACTAGCCTTCATTAGGTCGAAGCAATAACTGAAAAAAAAAAATGTTTAACAGCATAATCTGAACAGAGTCTTCTCTGAACTGATGAGCTTACACTTGAAGCCATGCAAACACGAATTCGAAGAGGTGATGGAAACCAATGGAATAATTGTTCCACCGGCCAACTTTGACAGGTGCAGTAATAATGTTATTTTAGATTGATGAATTGAAAATGCTTAGCTTATGGCTGAATTTTCGTGAGAAATTTAACTTTTCTGTCTCTCTTTCCTCACGCTGACAATCCTCATAGGTCTTGAATACGAGTTATCCAAAGATATATGAAGATTGGACTCTCCGTTAACCGTTTCTGCCACTTATCTCTCATGGTGATATAGTCCAGTCATTTAAGCTTAAATTAGGTAAGAATCTCGGAATTCGAGATACCCAGCTGTAAGTCTGTAAATACTTGTATATTGACACCCTAAAAGTTGTCTCAAAACCTACATATGGTAGGGTGTAAGCAACTATTAAATTTCAAGGTCAAAAGTCACAAAAATCGGTTTATTGCGCTTTTTTTGGAAATATCTCATTTCCTATGGGTGTCTGCTATTTGTATTCATTATCAATATTGTAGAATACAAAATTCTCTACAAATTTTGCCTTAAAAAAATTTTTTATACGGTGAACCGTTTTCGAGATAGAGGGCGGAGAGCGCGCAGTCACAGAATCACTTCAGGTCAACCGGTGCCTCCGGTCGAAAACGCGCCATATAGTTGATGAACTATCGATAAATCAATGATTATAAATATTTGTCAATTTTTATTAACTATTATATGTATTATATTTTATAATTTTTTTCCTAACTTATCCACTTTTTATTCAGTATTAATTTATTTAACAACACTTACCTGCCCATGAAATTGCAGAATTGGTAATGAAAATATAGGAATTATATTTGAATTTTAACCTAATTAATATTAATAACTTCTTACATGATGAAAAAAAACAAATAAATTTAGAATTAATCTTTTTATTAAAAAATATCATTGAATACATTTATTTTTATTGAAAGTAAAAAAATGGAATAAAGGTTACAAAAACTACAATTTATAATTTTAATCATCTTCTTCCTCTTCATCGTTGTCTTTCACGGTTGAAATGTTGATGAGCAGCTGCACTTGTTGGTGGAATATTTGAAAGCTGCACAGGTTTATTAAGTTTTGTAGACTTGACGTAATGCATATAAAGAAGATGATTGAGACTTTTCACAGATTTCGGAGCATTACAGACTGCCAATAAGGTTTGAGTTCCACTCTCTAATAATCTCTGGGCCGAACAATTTTTATTTATAATCATTGATTTATCGATAGTTCATCAACTATATATGGCGTGTTTTCGACCGGAGGCACCGGTTGACCTTAAGTGATGCTGTGCCCGCGCGCTCTGCGCCCTCTATCTCGAAAACGGTTCACCGTATAAAAAAATTTTTGAGCAAAATTTGTAGAGAATTTTGTATTCTACAATATTGATAATGAATACAAATAGCAGAAACCCATAGGAAATGAGATATTGCCAAAAAAAGCGCAGTAAACCGATTTTTGTGACTTTTGACCTTGAAATTTAATAGTTGCTTACACCCTACCATATGTAGGTTTTGAGACAACTTTTAGGGTGTCAATATACAAGTATTTACAGACTTACAGCTGGGTATCTCGAATTCCGAGGTGAACTTACTATAATGACTGGACTAATAATAGAATTCGTGTCTTGTTCTTAACTTCTTCTTCTAGCAGACATTCTTTTTCTTCAACTTGTACCAAAAAGGCTTTCAAACTTCAACACCATGTGATATATTTAATTATATTTATGAAATTTCTTATGGTTTTCTCATTATTTTTTCCAGCTACAATTACCACATAAGCGAAGGCAGTCGGGAAGACATGTCGGCTCTGGTCTGTTACATGTTCAATGTAACCTTGGAGAAACTCAACTTAGACCGGGAAGTTATGTCAGATTTTGTGCTTACCATATTGGGGTGTTATAGGAACAACCCCTACCACAACGCGGAGCACGCCTTCTGCTTCACTCACACGATGTACTTGATACTTGTTAATAATCGAGAGTATTTTGATTCTAATGAGGTATGGAAATTCATTTTCGAATTAACTCAATGGTAGAAATAGGATAGCCTTTTGCCGAGACGATTAGTCATTCTGTAGTATTTTAAATATTTTGAAGAGATGTTAGTGTATTTTCGAGGATGTCCAACTATAGTTTATTGCAACAGGGATAGTGTCAGGCGCCTGCGCCAGGCACAGATCAGTAAAAGCAGTATAAGCATTTATATTTAATGGTTAACATTGGGATCGGTACAAGTTTTGTATTTAGAGAGCACATATACGATGAGATACGTAAGATGGATAAAATTTTATTATCTAATTTATTAGGATGAATCGTATTTATGAACTTGAGTTATAAAATAAATTATAGTTTTAAAAAACTAAAAAACACGCTTTCAAATTTATTTTCTATTTTTCGTTTGGTTTTCTATAGAAAGCGTGTTTTTTAGTTTTTTAAAACTATTTTTTTTATTTTTATTAGTGTATTGTCATCGGTCCTCGATATATCTACAAAGTTTGAACGAATTCTGACCGTTTAAAGTCAGTCAAAATCACGCCCAAAGGAGTCGGTTACAAACAAACAAACAAACATACAAGTGAAGCTAATATAAAGCGTGTAAAATGAGAACTTAAAACAAATTAAAAGGCTACATTAATTATTTAACCTTCCAGATTATAGCTCTTATGCTGGCCGGTCTGTGTCATGATATAGACCATCCAGGCTTTAACAACAACTTTTTAGCACTCTGCAAGCATCCCCTTGCCAAGATGTACCGGACCTCCATGCTCGAATATCATCACTACTTCCTCGCTAAGAAAATAATAGAGGTTAGTCCAATTCACATCCATTCACGTCCGACTTATATCCTCATAGAGATAATGCCCCAAAGCCCCTTGCAATATAGGCAACGAGAGAAATGAATAATAAATAGTTCCCTCTATCTCTTTCTAGTAGAGCTTTGCGGTTGGCTGGGGAATATAAGGGGCTAGTGCTCACTTAAAGATAGCCAATCGCAGCTTAGCTAAACAGAGACAGAGGGAACTACCAAGCATCCATCTCTCGTGTTCTCTCTATGCTTATATCTCTATGTATATCCCTGAAGAGGTAGACAGTATGGTAGGAATAGGATATTGCTTATTTGGAGTGATCGCAGAGTGTAAGCTAAAGTTTGAAGACATACATACATACATACATGTAACTCCAACTGGCTGTTGCCGGCAAGTTTAAGCACTTTAAAAGTTCTTACTTTCTCTCTCTTAGAGAGAAAGTAAGAACTTTTGTTCTGTCATTCACTGGACAGCACATGAATTACAATGAAACGAAAAAAAAAACACAAGTTATAATGATATTTATAATGCCCTGTGCAATTCCAAAAAAGGCACCTGGCTTAGAATATTAGTGCAGCCTGAGAGACTGCGGTGCTGGCATTATGCTAATCGTCCTGATAGATCAAATAACCTTTCTGATATGCGTCTGAGTAGGTCGTTATACTTTTTCAGGATAAAAAAATATTGAACAAGTTACCAGAAGCCGACCAGCTACGAATTATGGAGGAGATCAAATTCAACATCCTTTGCACAGACCTGGCAGTGTACTTCCAGATTCGCGCTCAGCTCACGCCTCTGCTCGCCGATAACCTCTTTAATTGGCAGGACAGTTCACATCGAAAGATGCTTAAGGTTTCATCAATTGAGCTTTTACGCTTCTAAGTAGAACAGTAAGAAAATAAGTCTCTTGCAATTAGGCACCGGGCACGAGGCATGCTTATAGACCAAACACCACAAGGTAGATTTTACCGTGGGAGATGCTTCGTCACTCTTTTTAAAGACTATTCCCGCACTAGGAATATATCCTGTGTCAAGGGGAATTTTACAAACATACATGAAACGGCCACAAAAGCTATTATTTCGTTGCTTTTCACTCAGGAGGAGCCCAACCTTCCTCCACCCGTTCCCTTGGGTCTCAAAGAGCGGTAAGACACTGGTGTTGCAGGTGTCCATGGACGGCGGTAGTCACTTACTACCAGGTGACCGTCTGCTCGTTTGTTCGTCGCCCCCCCCCCTAAAGACAGTTTTGTTGTCTGAAGAACATCAGACTTTTTAAAGATCTTAGAATTGAATACCAGACAATGCAAAGGCAACACAGGACAGGAATATTTTAGCGTTTTTACACTTTAGATAGAACGTATCTGTCTAAAAATGAGATATCTACATATTAACGTAATCCAATAAAATATTTTATTATTCTAGGGGATATTAATGACAACGAGTGATTTGTCCGGGTGTTGCAAGCCATTCGGTGTTGCGAAAGCCATAGCTGAATCTGTATATGAAGAATTCTACGATCAGGTAAGTACTTATTTCACTAAGAAAATGTGTCCCTAATATTGACAACATTTAAAGGTTTAAATAAAACGGATTGTAAAATTTAATATTTGACGACGTAAGTGGTTTTTGATAAGTTTTGGATGAACTTGACGACCGAATGGCGTAGTGGTTTGTGTTGTTCCAAAGGTCGCGGGTTCGATTCCCGCTCAAGTCAAACATTTCTGTGCATGAACATTTAATGTTTGATTTGGTCTGGGTGTTTCTATGTATAATTAGTATGTATTTACAAAAGATAGAAGTGTATATGTATTATATCAGTTGTTTAGTAGCAATAGTACAAGCTCTGCTTAGTTTGGGACTAGATGGCGTTGTGTCAATGTGGTACAATATTATTATTATTATTATAAAACTTGTCAAGTGTGAGTTTTGTCAGATATAACTTTCGTTGAACTTGATTCCCATAACATTTTTAAAATCTGTTTGAAAATTGGAATGGGTGTTCTCTTTTCACAAACAGATAAGTTCTTTTTGTCTCAGTGTCTGTATTAGGAAATTGATCTAAAATTACCTATTTTTAAATTGGCTCTCGGAAATGTTTTTTCTGTTCTGTAACATGTTTCATCATGTAATCTGTGAGAATAGTTGTTAAAGTACCTATAAAAAATAATAAAAATACCAAAACTCACCTTTTATCATTACAGTAGGAGACTTCTAATTATGTAAAATACAAAAAAAAATTGAAGGTTTCCTGAACCAAATTATCGATTAAAACCAAATATTAGTAATTTAATTCTTTTTGTAGTTCAAGTTTTTGGAGTCTCCGTTGATTAATATTTTTCATTCAAAGTTACGTTATATTATTATCGAAGGACATGTTATCCCCATTTCCAGGGTGACAGAGAACGTGCCATGGGTTACACTCCCCTCAGCATGATGGACCGTCGCCGCTGCATCAACCAGCCGGCGGAACAGATTCAGTTCCTATCAGTCGTGGTACTGCCCTGCCTGTTGGTGCTGCAGACCATTTTTCCTAATACCAGCATACTTACTGACAACTGCAGGTAAGTTAGAGGCATAGTTTGAACGTAAGTAAGGTAAGGTCTTGTAAGGTCTGGAACTTGGAACGCGGCATCCTGATCCATTGATGATTACATAAAGGTACAAGGTCGAAGATTGTTGTGACATAGTCACGTATTTTTTGATAATGAGTTATCCAAATTAAATTTAATTTAGATTAATTATAACTTAGATGATGATGTAGAGAATTGCCGCATGGAAAAATTACAATGCCCTTTAAGGTGTGCATGCCACCACCAAAAAACCTTTTACCACAAAAACTGTTTCTTCTACAGATATTTTTCAGGCAATGAATTCTATAATAAAAATAAACTTATTCTGCTGCTTGCAATATGTTGTACGCTATTTTAATTTTAGGAAAACCCAAGAATCATGGCATGAAGAGATAGAAATCAGGGGACAGAAGCTGTGGCGCCAAGAGCTTTCAATGCCGAACTCAAAGAAAAACATGGTGTTAAAAAATGACGAGGAGAAGTCATGAACCCTAAACGGTACCTAGGATAAAGTTAATTACTGCACTACACCACTATCACAGATAGCGAGGGACCCACAGCCAGCATGTATAATAAAACAATTTCCATTATTAATTTACAGAGCACGTATATTACAGCAAACGGTACAATTTAAGAGGGAAATATGTTGCCAGCCTTAATTACATTAAAATTTTTACTCATCTTCTATTATCTATACAAATAAATAAATAAAATTGGAGTGTCTGTTTGTAATATTAAAATAAACGCTTTTTACTAAATGCATATGTATGTTTACACGGTACATATGCCAAAATTTTTTTTTTTCAATTTTTGTCTGTCTGTTTGTTCCGGGTAATCTCTGGAACGGCTGGACCTATTTCGACGGGACTTTCACTGGCAGATAGCTGATGACATAAGGAGTACTTACTTTTTTTAGACTAGCTTCGCCGGTTATAACAACAAACGCGGGTAACACCGTCTCAGCTAGTTTTTTATATATATCCGTGCCTTGGAGAGCACGTACAGCTGTCGGTCCCGGTTGCCATACGAACATCTGTGACAATCGTTAGTTGGAGTCCTTAAAAGTCCGACAAAACATTCTACAGAACTTCGATATCACCTACGTATGTCCGTTATCGGGGTGAAAGAATTTTAGTTGGTTAGGCGCAAAAGCGTAACAAACAAACTCACTTTTACAATTAAAATATAAATAAGTATGGATTATAACTGTGTGTGTAGGCGCACCTCTTTAATTTGTTTAATTCTAAGCAGCCTGGTTCTCCGTTCTCTAATTTTAATAACCCATGAATGCCATCCGTCTTATTACACTAACAAAAGAAAAAGAATAACAATACAATCCCCCATCTTCAAATTACACAAGGCATTCTTAAATGGTGCGAGCTAGCAAAGATTTCAACATACCTGTGGCGTTGCACATCACTACGCGTATTGCATATCACTACGCCTGTATTGCCTGTTACATCACTCTCCGACTCGATGACGTAGTTCCGCTACCGCGGGACGCTCTCTAAGACAGACGGTCAAAATAGCTTGGAACATAAAGACATGTCTCGTCCGATACCGTAGTTAATAAGTGAACTGTGTTGATGTCTGTAAATTCGCCATCGTGAATAATTAATATTATAAGGAATAGACACAAAAATCAAGTGTTTTCTTTTGGACTTCAACAAACCAAATTGGTGACCCCGCGTGAATTCACGAGCGAACAGGTCGGTCGCCATTATTTTTTCTTTCCGCCTTCGAGAAGAAATTTGCATCGCGCTACGGCACGCACTCTGAATTCGAGCGGACATTCTGGCGATCCCGGCCCCGTCGAGCGTTTCGTGCCTATGTGGCTCACGAAAGCTCCGGGCATCAGCGACAACGAGACAAGCGGCGGTCGGCGGCACCGCGAACATCGCGCCACGCGCCGCGATTGCGAGCAACGGTAAGGACGGGGATTCCCCTCAGCCTGCGGTCGAGACCCTCGTCGTCAACCTGCATCTACGAGTCATTTACAATCAACGAGCGGCGGCGGCATTCATCGAAGCGCCTCATCGGCATCATAAAAACGTCGGTTTGGCAGCCAATGTCACCTTTCGCGCCTCGCTCGTATACCAATTGTGATAGTGTTTTGTGTTCAGTGTAAATATACTTATAAGTAGAAGAATAAGTGTATGCACGTATAGAAACATTCGTCATTGCCATACGGTATCATAAAAGTGCGTTTTCATGGCGTTGTTCTTACTTGCGAGAAGTGCGAGAACATTCCACAGTGAAGTTTACGCTTACGAGTCATACATCAAGGATTGCTCAAATTGCACTTCACTTGGACTCGCCCGATGTAGCAGCGCATTTCACTTGGACTCGCCCGATCTGACAGCAGACGGTAACGTTCAATTTGACAGGAGACGTTGACACTTCGCTAAGCGTTACGTTCCGGTAAACGCAGGTATAAAGAATTTTATTATTTTAAACGAGTATAAGGACCTTTTCGTTGCAAAATCGCCTTGTTAATAAAGTTTTACTGTATTTTTAGCATAGGGACTGTGTAATAATTACCTATACATCAATTTCCATTAACTTTTATGGTGATTTTCCTAACATTTTAACCTATTTTAATACCTGTGTTATTAGCTTACTTTTCGCGACTTGCATCTTTGATTCTTAGTCACCAACCATTGTATTTTTACGTACACTGCATCACAATAACTGTTGTTACCGTAACCTGCTAATATTGAAAGCATTTAGCTCAAAATTGTAAGGTTTTAACAACTTTCTATCTTGAGTGTTACATCTTATCTAACTATGTTTTATAACCTTTCCTGTGTTCTTATTTACCTTAAAGCAGAGCAATAGGTGTACAGTTAACATCTATTTCCTGAGTTTTAACATAATTTTAATTTTACACATCCTAGTGCTCAGCCCAGGTACATACATGAATTGTAAATATTTTGTTTAGTATATAAGTCACCTGTATTTAATTTTATTCTGCATCATGACTACTAATCCCCCATCCCCTCCTCAAGTGGAAAAGGTGGCAATAAAGCTACCTTCATTTTGGATAGAACGCCCCGCAGTTTGGTTTGCCCAAGCGGAAGCCCAATTTGATCTTGCTGGTGTGACTACCGACTCTACCAAGTATAATCATGTCTTGTCAACAATTGATCAGCGACTAATAGGAGAGGTTGAAGACATAATATTAAACCCTCCTGCAACAAACAAATATACCACGCTGAAGGAACAACTCATTCAGCGCTTGTCAACCTCTGAGGAGGAACGAGTTCGCCGACTTCTCAGCGAGGAAGAGCTTGGAGACCGTAAGCCCTCCTCCTTCCTTCGGCACCTTCGTTCACTCGCTGGCATGTCCAGCAAGGACGACAAACTCCTTCGCCAACTTTTTCTCCGTCGGTTACCAAATAATGTTCAGGCTATTCTGGCAGCTCAAGCTGATCTTACTTTAGAAAAAATTTCAGAACTCGCTGACAGAATCATGGACCTGCCGAGCTCACCTCAGGTTCACAGCTTGGATAACACCAGTCCCACCCTATCCTCTTTGGACACCTGTGTAGAACAACTTACCAAGCAGGTTTCAGCACTTATGTCCCAGCAGCAACATCACAGGTCCCGTAGTCGCGGTCTGTCTAACCACCGCGGTCGTAGCAGGAGTCGAACTCCAGGCCCCAGTGGTGCCAAATTTTGCTGGTACCATCGCAGATTTGCTGCCCGCGCTGCAAAATGCATTCAGCCATGTTCCTGGACTGTTTCGGGAAACCAGCAAGGCAATCAGTAGAGGCGGCAGCTGATTGCCACCCCTCCGGACGCCGCCTGTTCGTTACTGACCAGTCGTCAAAGTACAATTACTTAATTGACACTGGTTCGGATCTGTGTTGTTTCCCGCGTCGTTTGTTAACAGGACGCTTTTCTCCGGCAGATTACGACCTTAGTGCCGCTAACGGCACTACTATTAAGACGTACGGCAACATAACCCTCAACCTGAATCTTGGATTACGTCGTGATTTTCGTTGGGATTTCGTAATCGCCGACGTCAGCTCCCCTATTATCGGCTCGGACTTTCTAAGTCATTATAATTTACTGCCCGATTGCCGACATAAGCGCCTTGTAGACGGTAGTACCAAGCTGTCTGTCGCGGCTGGGGTAGCCCAAATAAAACAGGATAGCGTTAAAGCTGTGTCCACCGGCGACTCACGCTTTGCTTCAGTGCTAGCTGAGTTCCCTGACATAACGCGTCCACCGGGTTTACCCAGATCGGTCAAGCATAACACGGTACACCACATTAACACCACCGAAGGGCCTCCCGTATCATGTCGTTCCCGTCGTTTGGCTCCAGAAAAGCTAGCTGCTGCCAGGAAAGTTTTCGAAGATATGGTGAGATGTGGTACGGCTACACCTTCAAAGAGTGCTTGGTCATCTCCGTTGCACATGACCACGAAAAAGGACAGCACCTGGCGCCCTTGCGGCGATTACCGCGCTCTTAATGCCCGGACAGTGCCTGACCGCTATCCAGTCCGGCACATCAATGATTTCAGCAACAGCCTTTCCGGTGCCCAGGTCTTCAGCACGATTGACTTAGTAAAGGCTTATCAGCAGATTCCGGTCTTTGCAGACGACATCTCAAAGACGGCGATTATCACTCCGTTCGGCCTCTTCGAGTTCCCATTTATGACGTTTGGTTTAAGGAATGCTGGCCAAACATTCCAACGTTTTATTGATGAGGTCGTTCGGGGCTTTGACTTTTGCTTTGCCTATGTCGATGACATTTTAGTTTTCTCCAAGAACCCTGCCGAACACGCAGAACACCTGCGTATCCTTTTCCAGCGTTTCAGTGAATATGGTGTCGTAGTGAACCCGAGCAAATGCGTCTTAGGCGTTTCTGAGGTCACGTTTTTAGGGCACCGCATAAATGCAGAAGGCACTAGCCCACCCGAGGACCGAATCCAGGCCATTCGCGATTTTCCTCCTCCCAAGACTGTGCAGGGTATGCGACGTTTTCTGGGTATGGTAAACTTTTACCGCCGTTTTCTTCCCAAAGCTGCACAGTATCAAGCACCTTTGATCGACGCAGTCACCGCCGTTCAAGGTAAAGGCGCAAAACCCTTTCCCTGGACTCCACAACTTAAGGAGGCTTTCGAGGTCTGCAAGAATAGCCTAGCGTCTGCTACTTCTCTATTTCACCCGGACTGCAACGCCACCTTAGGTCTATTCACTGACGCTTCCAGTACCCACGTAGGAGCATGCCTCCAGCAACTGTCTAGCCAAGGTTGGCAGCCAATAGCATTCTTCAGCAAAAAGCTCACTGCCAAGCAAAGCGCTTGGCCTGCTTATTACAGAGAACTATTGGCTGTTTACTCAGCCGTGCAACATTTTAGGCACATACTGGAAGCTGAGCACACTACCATCTATACCGACCACAAACCCCTACTCTACGCGTTTATCCAACGCAGAGACAAGTTGCCTCCCGCCCAGTTAAATCAACTGTCGTTTATTT